TTTAAAATCCATAACTAATAGTCCTTTCCATAAATTTTACCTGCAATATTTCGTATAGTCCTCCTTACAAAACTTATTGCAGTCCTACTAGCGTATTCAATTGATTACAGTTGATTTTCAAATACTTCGTATATTTACTCCAATCTTCTAAGAACCTCTGATCCCTCCGGTTTCAAATTCTTCCTGCCATTTTATCTAATTCTGCATAGTCCATTAATTTCATCTGCCACTCTTCTTTCGTCGGTAATTCTTCTTGCTACCATTTCTGTGCCAATAGCACTCTTGCCACCGTTATCGCATATAAAAACAATTTATTATCTTGTCTGCTAATATCTTCTCCTACCAATACCAAATAAAAATGCTTCTGGTTTTTTTACAAATATATGTTTCAACATCTTTTTCATCTCATTATATATCATTTCCCAGAAGCCTTTTACTTCCCAGAAGTGTTGTCTTTCCAAAGCAGCCATTAGGCTATAACCTCATAGACTGTAAACAATTTTATTTTATTTTTCCTGAAAGTGCCTCATCCTCACTGAGTTCCTTATGGTAAGCTCACAGGTTTCCCTTCACCTGATTATAACACCTTGGTACACCTTGAACATAAATGGTACTACAGAACATTTATGGAAGACCTCTGCTGAGGGAATATTGTTGTTGTTGTTTAGTCATTTAGTCATGTCCGACTCTTCGTGACCCCATGGACCAGAGCACGCCAGGCACTCCTGCCTTCCACTGCCTCCCGCAGTTTGGTTAAACTCATGCTGGTAGCTTTGAGAATCTTCCAACCATCTCGTCCTCTGTCATCCCCTTCTCCTTGTGCTCTCCATCTTTCCCAACATCAGGGTCTTTTCCTGGGAGTCTTCTCTTCTCATGGGGTGGCCAAAGTATTGGAGCCTCAGCTTCAGGATCTGTCCTTTCATGGTAAAGGTAAAGGGACCCCTGACCATTAGGTCCAGTCGTGACTGACTCTGGGGTTGTGGTGCTCATCTCGCTTTATTGGCCAAGGGAGCCGGCGTACAACTTCCAGGTCATGTGGCCAGCATGACTAAGCCGCTTCTGGCGAACCAGAGCAGCGGAAACACCATTTCAACGTCCTTCCATGGAGAGGTTATCTAATAACACACCTATAATTGCAGTCACATTACCCAGGACCTTTCTTTAAGTGAGGGTGTCTGTCACAGCTACATCTTGAAGGTTGAAGTGTATGGGGTTTGCTGTAGTCCATAGGAATTCCATTTCTCTCACCAGGTTTCCTGATTGCTTGAGTAGGGATATACAATGTCTGTACCTGACATTGGGCAATGGGGACAAATGGGAGATTCTGCTGGTTTGCTGCTCAGTAGTCCCCCTGCCTGAGCAGACAGAGATGGCCTGAGGGGTGGTGTGAAGCAGTCACCTTTTAAGAGTCCTTTAAAATTCCTCATACCTTTTGCTGAAGGAAGAAGGAGACACTAAATTCAGCAGCAACCCTGCAAAGAATATTAAAATCTACACTTGGGAATCTTGCTAGCCTTAGATGATTTAATGCACTTATTCCATTTTTGCTTTGAGCAAATGTAATGGACAATTCTATTATTATTTCAGAAGCTTCATTGTGATAACATCCTGGCTTTTTCATCTGGTAACGTTTCTCACCTAATTCAACCTATCCACACTAACTTGGAACCCAGTCCCATTCATGAACCCTGCAAATCACAACTTTTAGAAAGGATTTGACAGTCTGGCAAAGAGCATTATATCCACCATCATTCCCAGGGAGGCACAGCTTTAAGTTTGAGGATGCTCTCCAAAGTGCTGAAAAGCCATGTGATCAGTCAAAGGGCTGGGCCACACCTCCACTTGTCCCGTGCCCAGAAAGCACAGGTCTGAGCAGTTTTCCTCTTGCCATGCTCCTTTCCCAGGGAAAATCCACTCTTTAGCTTTCAGTTGGAACAAACAGCAACCCGCAGAAAACTCAATTGCCGTTTGCTTCGACTGAGCAGTAAAGAGCGGTTTTCCCTGGCCGAAACCAGCAAGACAAGAACAAGTGTGGATAAGCCCTAAAGACATTGCAGCTCTCAGCTGACTTGCATGATCTCCCTCTTCCTTTTTGCGACACCTCTGGAGGAGTCACCTTGCTTCAGGAGTGGCTGGTATGGAAGCAGTGTTGTTGTCGCTTACCAGGATGGTGCAAGTTGGTGGTGAGATCAGAGCAGGTTGTGCACACTACACAAAGCACTGTGATAGCTCCACCAGCACAGCCACACCACCCAGAACTTGCAAGAACCATGCCCCACCACAGCCACATCCTAGAATCCACCGGTCATGCTGCTTCTGGGAGGCCAGATTTGTGGCATTGCCCCCTTCTCCAGCTGCTTCTGCCTTATTTCCGTGTTTCTTCACCGTTTTTCAGTCAGTGGAGAAAGCTGTGGGAAACTAGACTTTTCTTCCTTTTTCTGAGGAAGTTTGGCAAGTTTCCCAAGACAGCCTACTGACCGGCTGTGTTCTCCAAGTCAGCAAAAAGACGAAAACAAACACATTCTTCATGCTGGCTGACCCAGAAGAGCAGGGGTTGAAGAACCTTTCTGGTCTGGTGAATCAGATTTCTGTCTCTCCCACCCCAGTGAGCCAACTTTGACAGGTGGATGAGACCACTCCCCGTCATTCATCTGTGACCAGATTTACATCAGGTGATAGGTGGGTCACCCCATCCTTCTGTCAGTGTCTGGTTACCAAAACGAGGGGAAAACCCTCGTTTGGAAACCAGGATTGAACACCTTGATTATAACGTGATATGATTGGGTGGGGGGTCCAATCCTATTTTGTGCTGGATTCAGGCAGGTCAGTCACTTCCCAGTGGTGACCGACTGGTGTACCCAACCCAACTTGAATTGTAATCCTGCAAGGTTTTCTAATTATAGGGAAAACTCAGCTGGTAACCCATGAATGTTCTTGAATCTGAAGACATAGGCAGGTAGATATGTTCAGGGCTGGAGGAACACCAGAGCTTTAGGCATTCTGTTACTGCTTGGATAGATATACATGACCATTCAATCCATGCCCATGTTTTATGGAACCCTTTTCAGCCTCTGACAACCCTAGAGATGATTCTTGACAGTAAAGGTAAAGGGACCCCTGACCATTAGGTCCAGTTGTGGCCAACTCTGGAGTTGCGGTGCTCATCTCGCTTTATTGGCCGAGGGAGCCAGTGTACAGCTTCTGTCAGCAATGCAAGTAGATAAACAGTGTACAGCCCAGCAGGTAGGTAAATGACGTTCTGTGCGCTGCTCTGGCCGCCAGAAGCAGCTTAGTCATGCTGGCCACATGACCTGGAAGCGTACGCCGGCTCCTCGGCCAATAAGCGAGATGAGCGCCGCAACCCAGCGTCGGTCACGACTGGATCTAATGGTCAGGGTCCTTTACCTAGGGCTGAGAGACTTCAAAGAAGTGTGACTAGCCCAAGGTCACCCAGCAGCTGCATGTGGAGGAGCGGAGACGTGAACCCGGTTCCCCAGTTTACGAGACTACTGCTCTTAACCACTACACCACACTGAGCTGCACAGTCAGGGGAGAAACAATGCTGCCCAGGGTTGTAAAGACTGCGGAGAGAATAATTGGGTGCACTCTTCCCACCTTGGATCAAATCTACGCTTCCAGGTGCCACAAGAAAGCTGCAGAGATAGTGCAGGATAGTGCACACCCCGGAAATGATCTCTTTCAGCTTCTGCCTTCTGGAAGAAGGTACAGGGTTATAAAGATTAGGACTAGCCGCCTGAGAAACAGTTTTTATCCAAATGTGATTTTGGTTTTAAATGCAGTGTAAGGTAGTCTCCAAAAGGGACACGGGTGGCGCTGTGGGTTAAACCACAGAGCCTAGGACTTGCCAATCAGAAGGTCGGCGGTTCAAAATGCAGTGCAAGGAGTCTCTATGGGAGTATACTGTATTTGAAAATGGGGTATCAGAGTTTTTAGGGGGCTAACCAGGTTGGGATGGCTGGGATATCAGGCTTGTTGGTTTTTGAATGTCTGATGTAGATTTTTCAATTTTGTTGTTCTGTATGGGACAATGACAATAAAGATTACCGTAATCGTAATCATAATCGTAATGATCAATGGTGAGGGATTATGGGAGTGGCAATCGCACAACATCAGGATGGCCACTGGTTTCACATCCTTGTGCCATGGGCCATCGTCTTCCTTGGGCAGACACACTAACACACACACACCCTGTCTCAATAATTATGTTTACCATCATCAAATGGCGAGGATCCAGAGAAAGTAGGCTGGCTGAAGAGGGCTTAAATGTGAAGGACTCTGCTGCCCTGCGAGCAAGTTGAACCAAAATATGGCTTTTGGGTTCCATCCGGTGCACAGAGGGACAACTCCAGTTCCTCTTGACTCCTGCCACTTTGTGAACGCAGAAACAAATAAATATCACAGTTCGTTCTGAATAAAATGGCTGTCTGAATCTAGCCTACGGGAGTGACTCATTTGTTTTCCAGTATTCAGCAGCAGAAATGGCAGTAACCGCAATGTGGCTACCCCCAAATGGAACGAACATAGGGTGCTCTCCAATTAAATGTGTACTTCTTCAGAGCTGCCATTAAGATGACTTCTTTTTTTTTGTTTCCAATTAATTAGATTTCAGCTTCTTCTTCTCTCCCTTTTTTTTGGCATTACTTTTACCTCCTGTTCAGTCTATCTGGACAGTCTAGGCCTGTCTTGGCACAGATCAAGCTCTGAAAATTCTGGATCAGAAAACACTGCTAAGCCTGGGCTTCTGGTTCCTGTCAGTCTGGATCGCAAAGTATCATCATGCATTCACACGCTCTCCCATAAAAACAATAAATTCCATCAGGAGCAGCATTGTTGGAACCAGACCGAGGTCCATAACCTTAGGGCCTCACAGCTTGCCTGCCAACGTTTTTGTTTAAAGATCTATGGGTAGGCATTTGTTCATTTGGTGGTTTAATTGCAGATAATAATAATACTTGGTAACTGTCTAGCATCTAGGGGAAGGGGCCATAGCTCAATGGCAGAGCATCTGCTTTGCGTGCAGAAGGTCCCGGGTTCGATCCCTGCCATCTCCACATACGGCTGGGAGAGACTCTTGTCTGACATTCTGGAGAGCTGCTGCCAGTTAGTGTAGACCGTACCAAGCAAGGTGAGCCAACGGTCTGACTCTGGATTAGTCAGCTTCCTGTGTTCCTTAAGTCTGCAAAACGATTCCTAGGTACTAAGGCCAGTGTAGACAAGTCAATCATTTCACCTGGTAAAATAGCAGCCGTGCATCCCCTCCACTCCTAAAATTTGCATTCCCTTTGCATAGAATCATAGAATTGTAGGGACCCCGAGGGTCATCTAGTCAAACCTCCTGCAATGCAGGAGTCTCAGCTAAAGCATCCATGACAGATGGCCATCCAACCTCTACTTAGAAACCTCCAGGAAAGGAGATCCCACAACCTCCCAAACAGCTCTTACTTTCAGAAAGCCCTTTGGAGGAGGAGGAGTTGTGGGCTTCACAGCCCCACCATGCGTGCGGCGAATAGAACCCAGCCCCCGCGCAATTGGGGGGATTCCCAGCCGTGTCATCTCCTGCCCAGCCAATTGGCTGGCTCTGGGGGTGTGGCTTGCCCAATTTAAACCAGGATGCGGCCGGCGATCTCCCTTATTGCTGCCAGCCAGCTGTTCCTGCTTTTCCTACCCTCCCCCCCTATAAGGTTTTCGTTCCTTGACCTTGCTATGGACATTGGTTGGTCACTGTTGAGGGGCCTGGTAGGAATTCTTCCACTTGGCAGATTGGCACCAGCCACTTGGTTTTCGCCTACCTCATAGCAAATCATCACAACTTTCTTGGTATTGAAGGTTAGGCACTGGTATTGTTCTGTAGATGGAAGAGGAGAGCTAGCGCCATCACCTGCCCCGCATATTGAAGGGTAGTCCAGTAAAGGATTCCAGGGGATGTGGCCCTGTCCAAAGGCTAGGGAGGTGAGGGCCTAAGGCACGCCCCCATCGGTTACCCCGGGGGAGTTCCTAGTTGAAGGTTAACCCTTCCCGGACTTCAAGCAGACGGGCTGAAGCCGGATATAGTCGCTTAGGACCAATGCCTAAGCCAATACCACCTCATCACCAATAAAGTTGTGGCCTTATTTAGCCCATTAACCTTAATAATTGTGTCATGTGTCATTATTTCCACTGGGGGGGAGGGACTTGCCACACAAGGTGTTTTTCCCCGTATGCTTAGTCGGAATCTCTTTTCTTGTAACCTGAAGCCATTGGTTCGAGTCCTACCCTCCAGAGCAGGAGAAAACAAGCTTGTTCCCTCTTCCATGTGAGAGTCCTTGACATATTTGAAGATGGCTATCTTATCTCCTCTCAGTCTCCTCCAAACATACCCAGCTCCTTCAACCGCTCCTCATAAGACTTGGTTTCCAGACATTTGATCATCTTGGTTGCCCTTCTCTGCACATGTTTCAGCTTGTCAACATCCTTCTTCAGTTGTGGTGCCCAGAACTGGATACAGTATTGAAGTGCAGTATAAGAGTTTGGCCAACATATCCCAGAATCCTCTGCAACAGACATGGGCTCTCTGGCAGATGAGCAGGTGTTCCTCAGTAGACTAATCAATGTGAAAAGACTTCCTTGAAGGCAGAAAGTTAAGAAGCACCGAGCTAGATATATTCTTGTGCAAATTTTTATTACAGAGAGAATCTTCTCTCCCCCTCTCCCTTCCTCCCAAAGTTTAAGACCAGTGTGGTGTGTCTGGCAATTAAGCAGACAAAGTGATGTTACAGTATATTACAAATCTTAAGCAGTCATATCCAAGGTAATGGCTTTGCCCATAATGATTTGTCATGCAATTTTAGCTTCAAAGCTTGGCATTAATTACAAACAAGAAACAAATCACGCTGTTAAAACATACATTACAGACAAATTATGCTCTCAAAATAGGTAATTTACAGCTTGGGAACAGTAATGGATAAACCCTAAAGTGTTTCTAGACGTTATTTTTTAAAGGCAGAACTGAATCTCAGGATAACTTAAGGCCACTTTATGCAATCACTCTGCCCATGGCTTGGTGGGGTGTATATTTTTCCCTATCCCCTACCATCTCAGCCCTTGTTGCTCCATCCATGTGGTGGGGGACTCACCTGCACTTTTTATCCCAACCACAGACCATCAATTTGTTCCTCAGCTTCCAATGGAAAATTTGCAGGGATGTGTCCATCCACATAGGAAATACCTCTGAATTATGTCTTAGGGTACCAGTTGCTGCGAATCGCAGGTGGGCAGAGTGCTGTTGCCCTCATGTCCAGCTTGCGGGCTTCCCACAGGGTCACCCACTTTGAGAATAGGACGTTGGACTAGATGGACCATTGACCAGTTCCATCATGATTGTCTTATGTCCTTATGTTCCATAATATATGTCCCACACACCAGGGGCAGCATAAGGGTGGACCTTTCCACATAATCCTGCCCCTCTCACATGGTTTCTACATTCTTTGTTCCTCTTCACACCCATATGGGACCACTTGGGAGCTGTGCAGAGGTGCAGTGTCAAATTTTAAAGTGTTGGAGTGCTATCCCCCATAGCCACATGGCCAAGAGGTATCCATGGCCATGCCATCAAACAGAGTCAAAAAAGCTGTTTTGATTATTATTTGCACACACATGCACATGCACTCCCCCCTCCCCAAGAACATCATTAATACATAGCATAATTCACAATTTATTAGGATAGGTATTGCTGCATAGTTCCTGGGAGTAAGTCCCACTTAACTTAGAGGTGCTTCTTTCTGCCTGTGTTGCTTCAACTTGCACAGTACAGTGAGCTTTAAGAAACTATCCTCAGCCTTCTGAAATGCAAGGTTGAGAGGTAGCTGGGGACAGCCCAACCAGAGCCGTCTTTCCCATTGGTCTTAGTGGTTCGTTGTGCCAGGGCGCCGGCCTCTCAGGGGTGTCCCAGCAAGTGGGGCAGTTGTGCGGCTTTGCCGGCAGCCTCCCTTTTCCCTGCACACCCACCAGCTGCGCCCCGCCAACTATATGGCTGGGAGGCATGCAGCTTCCTTCCCAAGCCTCCTCAGGAGGAGAGCGATCCCCACAGAGGCTTCCCAAGCCTCTACATCTGCTAAAGACAGCCCTGCTCCTAGTCGTTGTTCTCCTCCTGCTTTCTGGCGAAAGGTGGCGCACAGCCTTCCTGGGCTGCCTTCTCGGGAGTCCTGACACCGGAGAGCATGTCCGCCAGCACGTTTTCCTGCTTGATCGCCACCGCCACACCAGGGATGGGTGGCCGTGGGGGAGGCAGAGGACATTTACCACTGCCCCCTCCCTTGTTTTGGAGTTGCCGGGGGGGGTGCCAGAGGGATCTTTGCACCACGACGCCGGATATGCTTAAGACGGCCCTGAGCACAAGGTTGCTGCTCCTTACTAGATTCAACAAAGCTGGGTGTAAAGAATGTGAGCAGAGGGAAATAAAAAGCTGCCTTATACTGAGTTAGACCAATTATCTACCTAGCTTAGTATTGTCTACATTGACATGAAAATCTCACCAGTTGTTGGGCTCAGTCTCTAATGTTCATTGGGACACCAGTCCCTTATCAATGTCACAACTTGATTTGGGGCTATGTATGTGACGTGAGGAGGAATTAAAGAACCTTTTAATGAGGGTGAAAGAGGAGAGCGCAAAATATGGTCTGAAGCTCAACATCAAAAAAACGAAGATCATGGCCACTGGGCCCATCACCTCCTGGCAAATAGAAGGGGAAGAAATGGAGGCAGTGAGAGATTTTACTTTCTTGGGCTCCGTGATCACTGCAGATGGTGACAGCAGTCACGAAATTAAAAGATGCCTGCTTCTTGGGAGAAAAGCAATGACAAACCTAGACAGTATCTCAAAAAGCAGAGACATGACCTTGCCAACAAAGGTCCGTATAGTTAAAGCTATGGTTTTCCCAGTAGTGATGTAGGGAAGTGAGAGCTGGACCATAAAGAAGGCTGATCAGTGAGATCAGTGAGAAAAGAATTGATGCTTTTGGATTATGGTGCTGGAGGAGACTCTTGAGAGTCCCATGGACTGCAAGAAGATCAAACCTATCCATTCTGAAGGAAATCAGCCCTGAGTGCTCACTGGAAGGACAGATCCTGAAGCTGAGACTCCAATACTTTGGCCACCTCATGAGAAGACTCTCTGGAAAAGACCCTGATGTTGGGAAAGATGGAGGGCACAAAGAGAAGGGGACGACAGAGGACAAGATGGTTGGATACTGTTCTCGAAGCTACCAGCATGAGTTTGACCAAACTGCGGGAGGTAGTGGAAGACAGGAGTGCCTGGTGTGCTCTGGTCCAGGGGGTCACGAAGAGTTGGACACGACTAAGCGACTTAACAACAACAACAATGTGACGTGTGTAATATATACCATATGTGTGCATCATGCCTACTCTATTACACTATCTGGCTATTTCTTTGATTTGGAGAAATATACTCCCGGGTCCCAGAGTGACCACTACCTGGACGATGAAGTGGCCTCTGAGATGACAGCTGTTGGTCTTTCTTGATCTATATAAACCAGTTTGTGTCCTCACTATCAGTGCTGAATGGGATACAGGCAAGAAGCTGTGCGCATGTGATTTTAGTGGCAGAACAGAATCTTTCTCTCCCCCCCCCCCCTCTCTCTGTGTGTGTGTTTAACCCACTTCTCAGCTGAAAGAGATACCCAGAGGGGCTTGCACTTCATTTAAAACAAAAACCCTCAGGCTTACAATTTAAAAGGCATGACACAAAAGGAAAAGGTATTAGGAGGGAGGAAGAAAAAAGCAAACTCAGCCACTAGTTTTTAGCTTTCTGGCTGGTGCATGGAGTTGAGCGGGTCTCCCCCTTGTCTTTAGGCTGTTGCTGGGAGACTAGGCATGCAGTTTCCCAGTGGCCCTTCTCTACTGATGTATGTAGGTGCTTTTACGTTATGCTGGCTTGTGGCCGTAAAAAAGATTCTTCTTCTTCAGTGGACTTTCGTTTCCTGTTGCATAGCAGAGGCCAGAGGGTGCTGCCCTTCAGCTCTGCAGTTCCAGGGCAGGATATATAATACAATGTAAA